ACAGGTTTGACTGTAATACCTGGGTTTGGCTCCAGCACAGAGGCGGTCTTCCTGGCAGGACTGACACTCCCGCAGGTGGATGGGTCCACCGACACAGGACTGGTGCTGTAGTACAGCGGCCTGGCCACAGGAGGCGCACTGATAACTACAGAGAGAGCATTGATACTGTAAGAGCGAGTTTTCATTTCTCACACTGCCTAAAGTCAGCTTGATGGGTGTGTCTGTCAGGGTGTGTGTTTCTGTTGTGACTGTGAGGGTGTGTGTTACCTGTGTGGATAGGTATCTGCCCTCCTGCCGCTCCTGCCAAGAAGTCTTGGCTCCAGATCGGAGAGCTATGGCTGTACACCTCCTCCTCCAGCATAGACAGGAATCTGAGCCAAACACAACAAAGCAGCCACAACTTTACTTCTCTATATTAAAAAAGGCAGTCAAGCGCACATGTGATTTCTGTGTGTTTTCACTCTGAGAATGTGCATGCATGTGTAATGTGTGATTGAGTGCTTCAGCTGTGTAGCAAATTGTATGTTAGTCTGCATGTATAATTAAGTTTGAAGGGTATTTGTGTGCAATTTCAGAGTTTCTATATGTTTCTTTTTCTTACTTAGGAAAGTGTGTGAGAATGAGCGTGCGTTTCTCAGGTGGCAGCTTGTCCTTTTCCTGTCTGGCCTGCTCCAGCAGTTGTTTCCTCATCACAGTGAAGACCGAACGCAACAGCGTCCGGCCGAAGATCTGAGTGGTCTCGTACCGGGGTAGACTGTCACAGAACTGAGGCACATTGCAGTAGCAGAGCCATCTATAACGAGCACACCACAGGAATATTTACGACTGTAAACAGGTGTGCTGCATGTTAACAGGGTGTCTGGCAGGGCTACTACCTGGTGTAGTTGGCTTTGTATCCAGCTGCATCATCGTTGGGAACCCTCTGGCGTCTCTGGGAGGGCGTCTCCAGCTGCCAGTAGTTGATCTGGTTGAGAAACATCTTGGCCAGCTCCATGATGGTTTGACGTTCCTTGGATGGCAGGTGGCTGAATTTGTACTGGACAAAATTGTTCACGCCCTGTTTGGAAAAGACACAATAAATAAATGGAAACAAAAACACACTGAAACAATTTGTGTCGAACAGTGCATTGCAGCTGATGCACATGTAGATGAGATTACCTGCTCGATACTGGGTTTTTCAAAGGGAGGACTCTCCTGTGCTTCTAATGTCGGTTTACCCATCTGTAGGATGGATTTCCTCAGCAGCTGAAAAATAAATAGAAAAGGGGAATATTCACTTGTAAACAATGCCGATTGTAAAATCCTGTGTTGGTATAATTTGATCGTAACAGTAGAGACTTACTTTGAAGAGGGAAAAGTAGACCTGTTTAGTGTCAGCATCCTCCTCTTTGTGAACACATGTGTAAAGATACTCCACATCCAGGACTATACCTAGAAGTCTGTTCATTTCCTCCTCGGAAACATTTTCTAGATGGGTCACATGATCACCTAGGGATGAGAGAATAAACCTTGAAATGATTACAGTTCTTCATTCATCAGTATATACCCTATACATGACTATAATGTTGGGGATTTCAGCCCATGGCCCTTTGCTGCATGGATAGTTAGGGTTTAATTGTATTTTACTGACGTCTATTTTACTGTATTAGTTAACATTAATTTAGTGTTGGAACAATCCCCCGCAAACACTGTTTTGTTTTACCTGCATTACTGTTGTATAAACTGTCCTATCAAAAAAGGCAAAAAAATAACCTTATAAAAAAATAATAGTAGCCTATAGAAATGTCACTTTAAAAAGGTCATTAAAAAATGTGGTAGTATAATATGTCATAAAAATCAACATTGAAAATCATAATATAGACTGTGTTGGCACGGTTGAAGCAGTATTTAGCATTGTCGCCTCACAGCAAGAGGGTTCCTCGTCCCAGGAGGGAGCCCTTCTGTGCGAAGTTTGCATGTTCTCCTGTGTCAGCGTGAGTTTTCTCCAGGTACTCCGGCTTCCTCCCACAGTCCAAAGACATGCAGGTTAAGTTAAGTGGGGACTCTAAGGGCGCATTCACACCAGGATGTCTGTGGGACTCGGTTCGATTGGGTGGTGAATGCTGAAAAATTTCACACCTTCATTTGGTTCGGTTCACTTTCACACTGCACTTTTTAGAGCGGACCAAATCGCCTTAATATCACGCAGTTACAAAAGCTGCTCCTTTGGGGGCGGTATTGCCCGAAACGACCACTGACCAAGAAAAAAAAAAAGCACGAGGAAGAAGAAAACCCGGCTCATTGATTGGCCTCGACAGAAGACGGAAATACATCCCCTTCAGCCGGCTTGGTCACCCAGTTTTCAAGTGGACCAGGGTTTGCTTGTTTGGTCCACACCAGAGTTCAAATGAGCGTTCACACCACTCCAAACGAACTGAACTATCCATAGAAGTGGACCAGGGTTTGTTTAAAGCGGACCAAATAGTGCCAGTGTGAATGCGTCTTAAAATTAGCCATGAGTGTGAATGGTTGTCTGTCTCTATGTGTCACCCTTGTAATAGTCTGGCGACCTGTCCAGGGTGTACTCCACCTCTAGCCCAATGTCAGCTGGGATAGGCTCCACCCCTCCTTAATTATAGGCTGGCTCCCTAAAATAGCACTCAATCGTCAAAACTTTGAGAACCCCTGATCCATGACTTTTGTTTCCAACTGCTCTAAAATGCTCCGTTTAGCTGTGAAGTTTCTAAAAATTCGTCCTGGAGGAAATTCCCCCCTGACCCCACTAAAGAGGTCGGATCGTAAAAAGGTGTAAAGGTGTCGATTTAAGATGGTCCCCCCAGTGCTAAATAGATTACGGCCCTGCCCCATACTCTGTGCCATTTGATATTAGCACCAGCTGTGGCTTCCTTCCCAGACTTGCTGACCTACCCAGGGTGTGAGAGCAGCTCCGGCAGGGCTCCTGCAGGTTGACTGCGCTGGACTGCTGGTCAGTTCGTGGCGGTGTAGGAGGGGGGTTCTGACTTTTCCAGCCGTTACACTTGCAGGCTCCCTCAGCCTGGGGAACAACATAGTTTGAATGAGCACAGGCGGGAATACAGATGAGGGTGAAGCCACTATATATTAATTTACTTTTTGAATCTGTGGAACATATGATTCACACTGAGCTGTCATAGTGAGGAGCAATAAACACATGCAGGTTTTAAGGAAGAGCAGGCATCACTGATGTTTTCTGAAACTGAAATTACTCGTTGTTTGCAGAGTTAGTTATGGTGCCTTATGACTAACAGGTGGCGCTGCTGTTATCAGCCACTTGCATATGTTATCAGCTTTTTAATCACACCAGCGTCTAAAAAGGAAACAGTATAATTAAGAGCACTAATCATTTTCCCAGTGCTGTATAATTTTAACACGCGCTAAATGGACCATAACAGCGCGCATAGGTGTTAAACTTGACAGTGGCGCTCAGGTTAATGGAGATTTGTTATGACTGACTTTGTACAGTATCTGGAGGTGGGGTGAGAAGGCCTGTCAGCGTCAGCTGGAGCTGCCTAACTGCGCACGCGCACTGCAACAACAACAAACTCCGCCCCCCTAGCAGCTGTCACCCTGTCAAAACAAAGACCCCGTCCCTCTCTGCAGATGATATACTGCATAAAACCAATAAAATCCTCTCTATTTCACACCGTGCGCTGACAGACGGCACAGGGACACTGTTAACATTCCCAGTGAACAGCCTCAGCCCGCGCTGAGCACACACACAGGGCTGCAGCCCGTGCTCACAGCCAGCTACTCCCAAGTACCAGCGCCAAGCCAATGTTTACGTTCACCGACCCCCCACCTAGACAGAAACATAGTAACATTGAACATACAGCAGACAGCTTGCAGCTGGAGGGCCTCTACGTGAGAGTCCTGCAGCGTTAATGCTTTTATTAACTGGGTTATTAATATCGCTTTTTCTATTATTGGTTCGTGCATGCAAAATGAAAAAAAATGAAGTGCGGCAATGGCTTCCTTTGCTGCGCTTGCATTTCGTAAACTATTGCAACCAACCGCAGGAAACACCGTTACTTTAGAATAAATCATTCAACCCGCTGTGTTTAAACACTCAGCTGACTGCAAATACAACATACTTTGCAGGATGAATACACTCCGAGTTTTTCCAGTTTCTTCGGCCGAGGTGAAGAGCGGAGTTGCGCCTTCTTCACGGCGATACGTGCGGATCCTCCAGCGGCGCCGGAGCCCTCCGTCCCCCCGGCTCCAGGAGCGGCCGGTACCAGGCCCGCTGCCCCGATGGCCGGAGAACCTTGCTGAATCCCAGCGCTGTCGGCCATGATTCACACGGAACCCCCGACGGGACCCCCGGCCCGGGAAATATTCGCTCTGCTGTCCGCTCTATTCCACAAGCGGAGGATCAGACATGGCGCTCATCCTTATTTTCAATTTCTCACTGTAGGCCCATTTTCCTCCGCTAGGGGACTCAGATGGGATAGGCCAAATCCAGCACAATTGAGAGGAGAGGTCACAAAATGCAACCATTTGTAGCAAAATTTCAAGGTCATATAATGGAAAAAAATGTGGCTTGCCATGTGGAGCTGCATCTGAGCACACAGGGACGAGTGTGTCATGGTAATAATCTCATGCAACGCAGGAATTACTGAACTTATTTTCAATATCCAATATTTATAGACTATATTAAAATAGATACAAATATATAAATAGAATTTTCTTTTTTTTTTCAAGGAAGAGCAGTTTGTTAAATAAAAGGCATCTAATTAAATTAAGACAATTACTGCAGATAAATTGTCAGGTTAAAGGTCAGAGATGACCAAAGAATTAAAAAATCTTATTTCAATTCAATGCCAATTTGAGATGTTGGGGTGGAGAGGAGTAAAACATCAAGTCTTAACCTATAGCAAGAAAAAAAAAAAAAGTTGAAAAACTATCACTATCTGTGGGAGGTCCACGTGCACGTGCACACACACACACACACACACACACAGCCTGATTACAATAATAAATGATCAAATTTATTTCAGTATTTATTTGGTCATTACATAACAGTACTGTAAAATGCTTGCATTTAAATGTTTTCAGCTGCAATTAAGTGTTCACGGCAAAAACATACAATTTACATCCTTATTATGTGTTAACTCATTTATTCATGATCACCATCGTGCCAGCTGATAGTTGTTACACTGTTCCTACAATATCGTCACAAGGTTACTGAGATGTTATGTAGGGGGGGGCAGACAATCGGTTATTTGAACTGTTTTGTATTGTTTCCGACTCCTCTGGAGCTTTAAGGTTGGGTCTACTTACAGGGAGGAGTACTGGACGTGTAGCCTGTTACCACTAAAAAAAGAATTAGTGAAATGCAAGAAAGAGATAATGTTAAAAAATAGAACCAAAATGTTTGGATATTATTTTTTTCTTTTGAGAGAAAAGGTACGAGACAGACGACTAAATAAATGCAATCTCATTTTCTTGTTAATAACACTACGTACATTTATAAAGAACACCACAGATTATAATTTAACCATTTGTGTGGAAAAAAGGAACAGCAACAAAACTCCAAACCCAGATTGTAGCTGTTTTTTTTTCTGCTAACTGTACAGTTTTTTCATGATTATCTAGACAACTCCCTAGCAAGCATTAGTCCTGTCACTGGTAAATCGAAAAAAGGTAGACTACACCGCAACACCCTATTTACAGTATATTATTTATATATTTATATATATATATTTATATCACACTGGCTGTAATTATGACAAGATATATTCATGAGCATCATTAGTGCAAGGCATGAGTAAGACCTGTAAAAAGTTATTGACCACATGTATGTATATGTGTGTGCATGTGTCGCTGTATGTAACAATGTGTGATGGAGGATGGGACGGGAAAAGAAGTGCGTGCTCAACATAGGAGAGGGAGAGGTGTAACAGAATGTGTGTGTGTGTGTGTGTGTGTGCCTATGTACAATCATGTTTAGGTCTGACAGGGTTAGGAGGGAAGAAGTCAATGTAAGGTGTGTGTTTATGTGCAAATGTGTGTTCAAACACACACACACACACACAGCACGTGTGAGTGACTCTATGGGTGAGATCTGTCATCAGCCAGCCCGGGCCCAGTTTGTACACACTGACACACAACTGTGTCTAAAGCACTTCCTAAACAAGAGAAGATGACAATTATGATTCAAAGGTGATTATGAAGCAGCCTCACATATTGCAACTCCCATCTCACTACCATCACCTTTTGACCGGGCGCACACCCAGCAGCGGTCCAGCAACATTAACACAATGGAAAAGGTAGTCTGCGAAAACTAAATGATCCAAAGACAGAAACCAAGAGACCCGGGCATAACCACAAAGGGATGGTCTACACAAGATGTATAAAAGGACACTGCTTCAGGAGATGGGAAGGTGGTGACACTGATGTGTACCTCAAAGGCCCCTGCGCCTTGTTGTGGAGAAAGCTGGGTGGAACAGGGGGTTTTGCTGTGCCGCAATGGTCGGTGCAGACACTCAAGTCACAGACTAAATACTGTGAAACATTGCACAATGCCACTAGGGACAGCTAGAAGCAGGCATGGCCCCAGAATGGAGCCTTAGGGTGGTAGAAGAGAATGTACACTAGTGCTACTTTGGGTTTAGTGGGGGAAAGGACATGGATAGCGTGGGCAGGCAGAGGGAATCGGAGGGAGAGGATCTTGGAGGACTACAGTCAACATACGTTTTTACACTTTAAGATAAAAGGGTCCAAGTGACAAGAGCCACCCTCTGCCTTTCCTCCGTCTCAGATTCACAAGAAAACGCTCCTCTTCTCTAACAGACATTTTTTTCTGTGCTACTGCAGACCAAAAGGTTTTTGTTTCTCCATTTTAGGCCATGTAAGCATACAGGTTTGTGCATGACAAATAGTCGAAAACAACAAGTAACAAAATTATCAAAAAAAAAAAAAAAAAAAAAAGAACTAAAACAGAAGACTGGTATTAGAAATGCAGCAGTTAAGTCTTAAGCTATCCCAGAAAAGGGAAGTAACCACTTCCTCAAAACGAAGCTCATATCTACACACTGGAAAGAAGATGATGGAAGGCATGGTGCGCTAATGTCTCTAATATCTGCGACCGTTAATCTATCAATAATAACTGATAGATGTAACAAGCTGGATGGCAGGTAGAAGGAAAGAATGGTTAGGAGGCTTAACCAGGTAGCAGCAGAACCACAATGGAGGAAAAGAGGCGGAGCCATGTGGAAAGATCAGTGTAATGGCATTGACTTCGCTACTGCAAAAAGAAGGAGGGGGACACAGGGCATCTTTTCTTGTTTCGCAGATCAGAGAATTGGAGATAAGAGTACAACACATTGCATTAGTAACTGCGGTGGCATTCAGGGCATCGGCCGCATTAGTTACTGCTCGACAGGTTGGTTGGAGGGAAAGCGTTCTTCACGTTAGTTACTGCAGCACGGAGCCTTGGCTGGCTGGGCAGCTTCTGTCAGGTCCACTCCTCGGTTCCGCCCGCTGTTGGCTCCTGCAGCCTGTGGCTCGCTCTTCGGCAATCTCTTTGCTGAAGGGAAAAAACAAACCATGTTAAACAACAACAAAAGAAATTGCAACTACTAACTTGCAGGGTGCACAAGTTAAAAATAGTTACTTTATATAAATCACAGCATATACCAGTAGGATTAATCAATGTGGCTCTAATACCTGTCAGTCTGTGTACCACAATACAAATGCACAGGCAAACTCAATGAATAAAGTGTGAAGAATTACCCACCAATAGCCATAAATATCTCATTCACATTCATAGATGTCTTGGCCGACGTCTCCATGAAAAGTAAGCTGTTGTCATCTGCGTAGGACTGGGCATCCTGTCAACACAACGTTAACACCATGAGTTTTCAATATGTTTTCACATGTACATTCAGGGACAGAGATGTGGTACTGAGACAGCAGATCCACTTCACTTTGCAAAATAAAAAAGAAATAAATTAACAGACAAATATAAAACTGGAGAATAATAATTATTGTGAAGTGTTTTGGAATTTTGGCATTGTCTCTTTTGTGATGTTTCTGTTTTGTTTTTTGGAATATTTTTGCATATTTTATATGTTTTTTGTATATTTTTATTCATAACATATGATGCACCTAATGTACATATTTCTTAGTTATTTCTGTTTATGTATATATTTGGTTGTACATTGTAGCATAATACACACATTTTTATATTTCTAAAACTTAACATACTAGTTTTATACACTGTAGTGTAGCATTGTGCACAGATTTTTAAATTTCTTTACGCACTTTGCATACTTAGGATTTCATACATATTTTATATTTTTACATATTCTACATATTAGTGTTAACCGTTACATCATACCTCACATATTTTTATATCTTTCAATACTATTTATTGTCATACTCCTTATTTCTACTTTCTTATAATTCTTCATGCTTTACATCAGAGCAAGAGTAAGGTCTCACAATTTCCTCCTGGGTATATTAAAGTATTTCTGATTCTGATTCAACCTAGTAGTGAATGAGTAACTTAAAACACTATTCTAAGTAATAAGCTTAAACTTCAGTCTACACCATTTTTTTTTTTTTTTTTTTTTGGCATTTTCTTGATTTGTTTCCTCTTGTTTCTCTTTTTAATTTAATGCCTTGCTGTTATTTATTCTTAATGACGTGCACTCCTTTTGGAAAATTCTTAACAAGGACTGAAATAAATTACCACTATACTATACTATACTATACTATACTATGTTTTGAATAGATTAACATGAAACAAACCTGAGACAAAACAGAGATATCCATGAGAAGCAGGAGATCAGTATTCCCAAGAAATGCAAAACTAAGACTGACTGTCAACAAGACACAGTTTGTTTGTTTCCTCTGACCTGGAAGTCGACAGCTCTCTTGTTGGCTAGGTCAGCCTTGTTGCCTGACAAAGCGATGACTATATTAGGGCTAGCTTGTCTTTGTAGCTCCTTCACCCAGTTCTTTGCCCGTGCAAAGGACTCCTACAAACAGGAAAGAAAAATGTGATCTGTTAATACCTTCATGTGATCAGTAACTTCAAGAAATATCCTTTCAAAATCAGACATTTTCTTAAAGGCCCCTGTGAAGTAGTCTAACTTCATCATGAGGGCATGATTGAGAGTATGACATGTACACCTTTAAGTGAGAGTAAGATGTTGGAAAACTGTATGAAGAACTTAGTCAGGGGTGAGTGAACATGCCTCGTTTGTGATGTCGTAGACCACAATGGCGGCCTGTGCTCCTCTGTAATACATGGGTGCCAAACTGTGGTAACGCTCCTGACCTGCAGTGTCCCAGATTTCAAACTTCACCGTTGTGTCATCTAGACACACTGTCTGAGTGAGAAAGGCAGCTTGAAGGAAATAATAACACAACGGGTGAGTCAGCATTACATAATCAATATTTACACCAAAACAATACTTTCTATAATGATGTGCAAACAATACAGGTCATAAATATATGTGAGACACAGTTTAGAAGACAGATGACATTTGAGACTCAATTTAAGTGCTACTCTACAAAGCCTGACTACAAAATAAAATGACAAACCTCTCTAAATTCTTTTCATTTTAGAGCTTTGAAAAGTATTTTAAGGTGGTGTCTTGACTAGGGCTGTGACGATAGCCGCATTACCACAATACTGCAGTCATGTGACGCTGAACGCGGGGTTAAGCTCATTACCATCATCACTGCACTTTTTTCTTTTGATTTTTTTGCTGGTGAAAGTTAGACGAGTGCATGTGATGTGTGATATGGCAAAAAATGAACATAACATTAACTGTTAAGATATCATCACTGACTGTCTTCTATCATGCAGAATGTTCAAGAGCTTCTGGAGAAAAAAAACATAACTCCTTATCTAACTTATCTACAGATAACCTTCAATTAAATATATGTTACACAGCCATTAAAGACAGAGGCATAAAGTTAACTGCTGGAGTTGGTTTCAATTGCAACTTAGTGTGCTTATAGCAAACACAGTGGTTTAGTGTGAGAAGTTAGCAGTGGACTTGTCTTGAAGCAGCAGACAGTGTAAGAAAACTTCCACACTGTCACAGCCCTTATCATCACAAAAGCAAAGCACCCACTTGGCTGTGAGAAGTGCAACTGTCTTGAATCTCACACAACTGGGTAGCAACCAGCTGGCAGCTCATAAGAAATACCCTGGTTTGTTGATATGAAGCTCACCTCCTATCGTGCTCTCCTGGAATTCGTGGAACTGACCCTTGACGAAGCGGAGCACTAAGCTGGACTTCCCGACGGCTGACTCCCCCAACAGCACCAGCTTAAACTGACAGATCTTGTTCCCTGCGTTGGGTCCATTGGGTCTCGTAGCTCCTCCCCGATTGGCCATGACCTAGTCAGATCCCCGGGTGTCCTGTGGGCCAAACCTCACTATCAGGACTTCTGCTGTAAGAAGCAAAAGAAGAAGCAGGTTTACTGACTATCAATGAGTATTGAACATGTGTTGAACTTTGCTCAGAATAAACGTTTCAAAAATATACCTGCTTACACTGAAATATGCTCCAACATTTTATGTTAACATGAAACTTTTTGAAACATTGATAAAACTCAAGTGATACCAAAATACTATCGGGCAGCAGTGTCTACAGTTGGCATTTAGTTTTAGAGCTGTCAACAGTGACTCAAATAGGCTGCTTTTTTTCTTTGCTTTGATAAGATGGACTCTACATGGTTAAAAATAGAACAAAATACCTGGTTTCCAACACCCTTATGAAAGAAATACAGCATTGCTATGTGCAAAAAGTTGAAAGAAAACAAATCTAATTTTGTGTGAGCTGCTAGTGGTGGTTTTAAATAATATGCAATACTCAAAGGCAGGATGTAGGAGTTGATCTTGCAAAGGGTGGCATGTATAAAATTCCTAAAAAACTGTGGAGAAAAAAGGGTGGCAAGACGTCGAAGTGAGCGGGGTGCAAACTGCAACTCAAACTGTGCAATATACGTCCAGCTGTGACCTTTTCACTGGCTTGTCTAACTGAATGTGTGATATTGGACATTTCTACAGTTCTGAAGAATATTGGGGGAACAGAATGCAAACATTAGCCCAACTGATACAGTTTAACAAGACTAAACAAGAAGAAAATAATAAATTAGTGGACATGTGTAATTTTCTCCAACTCTACAAACAATTGTGTTAAATAAATAAATAAATAAATAAATCATTATGATCATACAGGCTAGAGTTAGACCAATAAATGGGCTAACAGAACCAATGGAAGTAATTAATATGAAGGCTCTATATTATGCACCTTCATAACATTTCAGTGATTACAGGTCAAGTCTATAATTCATATTTATCTTACATATCTATATAGAGTATTATAAATATAGTTTTGTCTGGTCCTACCTGTCTTGACTGACAATACCAATCGCGTCCACTCAAAACATTGCCAGTTCAGCAAGTAATGCATTTCACACTCCTACTTTAACATGTCAGATTCAAGCTATAGCCCGGTAGCATGACACCTCTTTGCAGGATGCACATTAGTTTTGCAGAGGCCATCTCAAATAAATAGGCTTCTGCAGAACTTCTATGACAACAGTGCAGTTTTTGTAACATACTAAAGATACCTTTTGCTACTGCGAATGGAGAAAGTGTGTCAAGTTAAAAATTTCACCTTTAACTGCAATAAAGAAGTTTGCAATCAAATAATGCATTGAAAACATTAAAATGTTAACACAATGCACTCACAATCCATGCAGTAATCGTGTTCCTTTTTGCCTTTATGAAAAGGTAAAGGTATTTGAATATTCATTTGTAAAATTATTCTAAAGTAATTTACATACAGCTAATTATGTCTATGTTGAAAGCCATTATTTCAATATAACTGTGTCATTACTGTCACAATTTTTTCACAGTTACAAAAACAGATAGGCATTCCTTGCCTTTTTGAATGCGTTTGTGAAAGAGGTATAGAAAGCCCACGACAACTGCATACAGTAACATCAAGCAAAGGAGGCCTTGTCAAGAACCACAGTAGTTTCACAAGTTTTACCAACCCACCCAAATTACTTAAATGTCTTCGAGCTGGAAGGAGAACCTCTATATGGATGCATGCCATGCATTCATGCATTGCTTAGTAACTTATTTAGGACCGAACTGCTGACTATTTTGTGTACAACAGATGGCTGTTGTCAGGAGATAATCGAGGGCTATGTCTGATTTGCAGGGAGGATTTGTCTTGAGTATGATTTGAGGAATCTCATCCCTGACCCTGACCACAACAAAATAACATTATGGCTTTCACCATGCACCCCAACAACTCCCTTACCCAGGAAACAGATATACTGTAACAATATGGAGCTGTTATTATACTCACACACACTTATATGCCCTCTAATGCAGCAAAGTACAATGTGTCTCCACATAAGCTATCTTTGTAAGGTATATTAATCACATTTTTGAGGTGTTAATGGCCTGTATGGCTGAATTTGAGACCTCAGATTAAACCTGTGTGCACAAGACCTTTACTGTTGCAATACCAACAGCTCTACTGAGTTACTAAAAAATAAGGAAGAAAATGCATTCATACTCCTGTCAAATAACTTTATTAAAATACAAAACATATCCGGGAACGTGGATTCATTTCTGGCAATAACACTGTCCTCTTGAATATAAAGATCGTGCACGAAAACCCATGACACTGACTAGTGAGGTCGTTTCCGAGGTAGTTAGCTCAGTCATTTATTCAGTTTATTAATCCAGAAGATTTGACAATACATCTTTTAAACGCAGTCAAGCAAGAGAAAAACAAATACGCACAAGAAGCTGCTTCGTAGAAAAGCAGCAGCTCTGTTTACTCAGCTTCACGACAGTGACTGTTCACAAAATGTTTCAACTTGACCACTTTTAGTTGACTATAAACACACTAGCTAACTCATGTTAGCTGTAGCCATGTATCTGTTTTGATTTTAGAAGGGGACGCCATTTTCCAAATTGTTTTTGTTATCTGGCTAGTTTGCGTACTTGGTGTTAGCCAAACATAGCTTTTTAACTGGCCATCAACATTAGCCTCCCAACCACTTTAAAACACATAAAACGACAGGCTCAGCTACCTAAGTTATGTGAAACAAATACGGTGACTCAACAAGCTAGTCGTTACATCACTACATAACGTTATCAAACTGAAATGTGCTGGTTGGCTTAAGTTTTTTAATGGGGAGTAACGTTAGCCAAACCCTCAATTAACACACATTAACGTTAGCTTGCTAGCAGTGTTAGCATTCCACCCACTGACCTGATTCCACCCATTTAGCTGTTAGCTATCACAAAGTCAACTGTTAGCTTGTCATTCCGCTTGGTACACCAGACATTACCTACAGCTTGCTAATGGCACCACGTCAACACAGTAGAGGCACGACTGGACTCGGGAAGACGTGCCAAAGGCCTGTATTTCTGCATTCCCTTAGCTATCTAACATCACCGACGTTAGCTGGAGGCAGCTAGCGACAGCGCTAGCTAACGTTAGTCCCCGCTGAGCGTTAGCCAGTCAGCCAGCTGGAAACCACAACTTGTCGATTCATGTCAAGTACACTACCTGAGAGCCAGGCGATGTTTGGAACTTTAAATACCACCGCTGGAGTGTTTACAAACGGAACCCGGGACACTGTGGTGGGGTGGTGTTGGGGAATCAAGAAAATAATTTCAACAATCCCGTCACGTCTCCTCCTTTCTTTCTTCTCGCAACTTCCCCTTAGAACCAAAACACAAACAAGCTCTTCCGCCCCCCGTGCCACGTCACACAGCACGTCTGCACTCCAGAAATGAGTTTCTCAGCCAATTAGCTCCCAATGAAACCAGCACGTTTTAATGGTTCTCTACACAGTTAATGTAATAATACTATTCCATAAAGTGTTGTTCAACAGATTATAGGTTTACTTGGTTTACTTGGTATATTCATTATCACTAGTATAATATTTGCATCTATGTTTTGCGTTTATTTGTATAATATTCCATTGTCTAATAGCCACATTTATTATGTAGGGTGACGTCAGGTGATTTGGGACACTTGATTACCAAGAAAACCACCTAAAACTCTAAATACTAATTGAAGTGTTACTTTTAGAACTTATGGTTATCGTTATCTGCTTCACCGATCAGCCCAAACATTAAAACCACTGACAGGTGAAGTGAATAACTTTTTTATTATATTGTTCCAATGCATTGTTCTGCTGGGAAACATTTGGTTCTGGCAGGTCGACACCTTGAGCTTTTTTGACACGCTCCAGAGGCCATCTCTAAACAGCTTTTGTAGTGTGGCATGCTACTTTTTTCTGCTGCAATTGGGGAGTACTGTTTCCACGAGGGGGGGGTACTTGGTCTGCAACAGTGTTTGAGTGGGTGGAACATGCCAGGTGGTATCCACATGAATGCCAGAAGCAAAGGCTTCCCAGCAGAACAATGCATTGGAACAAAATAATGTCAAAGTAAGTCACTTCACCTGTCAGTGGGTTTAATGTTTAAGCTGATCGGTGTATTTTAACCATTTGACCCAGTGTTGTGATCACAGCACAGGTTGGGAACCAGTTATTAAAAGTCCATCGGAGGGGAGAGTGATGTGATGTTTGAGCAACTATAGGACACAGAGAAAAGGGGAAGTGAAACAAATATTTTGTAACAGCTGCTCACATAATTTCAAAAATTGAGATTACATGAGCAAAAACCGCTCCGTTGTATGGAGAACAAAATGTGCTCTCTCACTGCTGCTTGAAATTTATCACACGGGCTCGATAAGCATTTATGCAAATGGAAAGGATGATTTGAATGAGCATCTGCTGTATATTACAGCTGTCTGCTCTGATAGGAGAAATGCAGTGTAGTAACAAGCCAAGAGGTGGCGGTATAGCAGGATCAGCATCGGAATTTACTTAAGCGAAGAAGAAGAAGCTCCACCTGCGCCTCGTCTCTTCCGGTTAAGGCCATATCAGCACATTTTATTTATTGTAGTGTATATTTTTATCCCAAATCAGCGATGAGGCCTGTTTTATGACAGGGACAGTATTACACGGTGTTTAGCAGTGTCATATAGATCGCAAAGAGTCCTTCTGAACAAAGTGAACAGCATCCAGTCATGGAGGAGGAGATAGTGGAGACACCAGAGGAGCAGCTGGCAAAGCAGCACCGCAAGGAAAAGAAAGACTTGCAAGGTAGCTGAACCTCTACTGCTTTCACTCGTTGTTTGTAGCTCATATGTAACGTTTGCTGTCTGCTTGTGTTGTTTTATTTCTTGGAATTTAGCACAATATTGCAGCCAAGTAGTGGAAAATGTCACTTCCTAGAAATAATGCAGAGCAAACTTGTAATCCAAACATTAAAATATGCTTTTCATCAACTGTCAAAGGCAAAATACAGGTGGTGGTTAGAAGAAAAATAGGTCTGAAGGTTTATTCATACAATCTTTATGCTATGCAATGTAAGCTAAACTATTTTTAACTCCTAGAGAGAGGTACAGTTCAGTTCAGTTCATACTTTATTAAAGACACATCTCAAGGAGAGGTCCATAGCACAGAGCAAGACAAACAACATACACACTTTAAAAAAAAGATAACAACAATACACAATAAAACAGTGATGTACAGAAAATAAAATATAAGAGTCACACACAAGTGTACAGGCAAGATCGCCAGTGACTCCACATCTTAGACATGAACCTGACTGAGCTGAGTGCAGGGTCAATTAGGCATGAAATAATACAATTTAATGAGTTCGATATTCTACATATGAATCTATACATCAGATTCCGTATCACTGCAGCACAGGTAGGGACCCCAACACTAGCAAACATATGACTTGCACTGCAGCTTCTTGGAGCCTTAAGCAGCAACCTCATACAAACATTGTAAGCCACAGTAAGTCTATGCATGCTGCTTATCTTGTATCAACACCACAAATGGGCAGTATAAAGAGAAGTACAGAATGCTTTACAGCAGCAGTTTCCTGCCACATATAGTTTAAAGGAATATGTTTATTATAACAGTTATCATCCTTTTTTTTTTTTTTTACTCATCCAACCAACATGCAGCACCGTGTCAGAGCTGTATCCTGTATTTCGTGTGTGCAGGCTTTATTGAAACATTGTTTGGTCAGATAGTCTGTTCCTGTGCTTCATTTTCAGCCAAAATCCAGAGCATGAAAAATGCAATCCCTAAAAATGACAAGAAAAGGAGGAAACAGCTGACAGAGGAGATTGCCAAAATCGAGGCTGACCTCAGCCAGAAACACAAGGAGGAATTGAGGCAACTTAAATCTAACGCCAGCACAAAGGTAAATATATCTGAGTTCAGATGATTGACTTGGATTTTCTCAGAAAGATGTACCCTTTTCAACGCAATCCCTGTACAGTTTTTTTTCACATTTGTATCTCATTATTCATGCTTCATTATTACAGTGTGTTTATTAGATAATTGTCATAACCAAAGGTCTCCTCGCTCAATCTTACAAGGTGGAGGAGGTGTTGAATGGAGTGGAGACCATGAAGGTGGAGGGTGCAGAAGAAGAAGAAGGAGAGGTCAAACAGCCACGTGTCACCAAGGCCCAGAAGAGGAGGGTGAGATACAGGTTCCACCTCAAATAGGACAGTTTAACCTGCTGTTTGTTATCGCCCACAGCATTTGACTGTCATCTATTGAGACAGCCAGAGTACAATGGAAGAAGCACACTTCAAGTAGTAATTAAATGCATTTTATTTAAATGCTCCTCTCCAGGACAAGAAGGCTGCCCAAGAGAAGGAGAGGGAGAGCAGGATAGCAGAGGCCGAGGTTCAGAACCTGCAGGGTGTGAGGCACCAGGAGGGTTTGAAGCTGGCTCAGAAACTCGCCCAGCAACAGCTTCAGATCAAGGAGATCTCCTCTGATGGCCACTGCATGTACCGCGCCATTGAAGATCAGCTGGCACAGCTATCACAGGTACATCTTTTTCTGTCTGGTGTGCGTGTATGTTGCCCATTTCTTGTGGGGTAGGTGCTGCCCAGGAACATCTGTGGGGTCTTCAATGTGGTGGTGGAGCCTTGATGGTTCTGCTGACTTCCACTGGTCCCTCCATTTTGCCTTTACCCAGGCAGCCTTGGAGATATCAGATGGTGTCATACAGAGCAGCTCTTGGGTGTGTGTGGCAAAGGGGGTTGCAGGACTTGAGACACAAGCGCTGTGGTGTCTCCGTAGCGGTCTTGTGGAGGAAGTGGGATTCACTTGCCCGTGCCTTTCCAGCGAGGGTCAGCGTGGCTGCTTCCCATCTGACCTCTACTGGAATGATACCAGCGAGGACAGGCAGTTGGTTTGTTGGCTTGTAGGCATCCGCAGGTAGTCTGTAGGGCGGCGTTGAGTGCGGCGTCTAGCTTCTTGACATGGGGGCTACAGCACCAGACTGGAACATAGAACTCGGCGGTTCATAACACCAAGGCCTCGGCGGAAATACGCAGTGTCCTCGTTGTGGCTCCCCATGTGGTGGACTGGGACTGTAGCCTGACACTATCAATCACGATGTTTAGTTCGTGAGTCACTTCTTTGTTGCTGAGGTGGAACACTGATGTTATGGTCTTGTCAATACTGAGCTTTAGGTGCCAGTTCCTCAGGTATGAAGACAGGATGTTCCTGTCTTCAGAGAGGCCCTCTTCTACTGCTTCTTAGGATTGCTTGCTGAGTAGAAGGGCCCGGTAATCTGCGTAGCCGTACTTCCTTGATTGCATTGCAGGTAGGTCATACATATAGATGTTGAACAGCATAGGTGCCAGCACTGAGCCCAGGTACATGTTGTTATAGGGGTGATAAGCAAATGTAAAGTCTGCACTGTCTAGAGTACCTACAAATGTAAATGACACAATGCTGCTCTGACAAACTTTGGGGGAAAAAAATTGTGCATGTGTTATTATTGACGTTTAAAGACAGAGTACATTCTCCATTCTGTTTTATTCCAGCCGGGGGTAATCATGAGTGTGAAAGAACTGCGGTCCCGCACTGCGGAGCACATGCGAAGCCATGCTGATGACTTCATGCCTTTCCTCACCAACCCCAACACCGGTGACATGTACACAACAGGTAACACCTTGATCTTTGTTGATCTTTGTCAAACTAACTATGTGTATGCACAGTATTCATGCAAGTGTTTGTAATGGTTTACAGATGAGTTTGAGAAATACTGCAGTGACGTGGAGCACACAGCAGCTTGGGGTGGACAACTGGAGGTGAGCTGATAAAGTTATATCACAGATGCACTGTGCTGTTGCTCTTTGTACTTTTAAATAATTTTCCTTTCATGTCATTTACCCCCAACAGTTACGAGCTTTGACCCAAGTTCTTCGCTTGCCAGTGGAAGTGATCCAGGCTGACTCCCCAACTATAAAAATTGGGGAGGAGTTTGATAGCAAACCCATCACCCTTGTGTACGTTGTGTATATGTTATGTTTATCAGGTTACATTAGCAAAACTGTTAAAATATATACAGTTAGTAGTGAAATTTATACTAATATATGAAGCTAGTCGTTGTTCATGAACATAACATGAAGGTTTTGTACCCTCACTTAACTGCATGGAAACAACAAATTCTGATAAAGCTTTTCAGAATTCTGAAAGTCTACCTAAGACGTCATGATTCACAGAGTACATTCTCTCCTTGTCTGCAGCTATATGCGTCATGCCTACGGACTGGGAGAGCACTACAACTCTGTGGAGCGGCTAAAGGACCCAGCCAATGCAGAAGA